GATAAGTCCAGATTATTTTTTGTGTATCTTCTGCCCCCTGTTATCAGGTGTATCTGATTGTGTACAATAGGATTTTGAGCAAAGTTTTTACCATTAAATTATGCAAAAGGAGTCAGACGCAAAACATTTCAGAAACCCATCAAATACACATTTGGCTTTATAAGGTTAAGTTCAGGAATGAAGGAGCTGGGGAATAAGCCGGGTCTTTACGAGGTCACATTTAAAACAAATCCATCTGGAAATGCCACTTTCAGAAAAAAAATGCATGAAAAAGTTAAATTAATTCATTCGGATTTTGCCAGTTTTTCCCATCCTGATTTATCAGTGTAGTCTTCTGCCCCCTGTTATCTGATCGTTATAATGTAACGACATTTTCCCTTTTGTTCCTTTTCTCCAGAAAGAGCTCCTGTGTCAGCAGATGGGTTTGTCTCCGTCCGTAAACCAGGAATCCTTCGAGGAAGCCGTCCACCAGCAGATCGGACAGGACGGTTTCAGAATGGACGCACTTAGATGGTATGAAAACGCTTTCCCGATGGATGTTTGATCTAGAATCCCATCAGGAAGAGTTCAGGGTCTTTGTGGTCACATTTGGAAACCCCAATAGGTTTTTATAAAACTGTACTTATTCTTTTCCAATTGTTTAACATCCAGTTATTCCTAAAAATGATCTGATTTAATCAGAAATTGAATATTGCATACCTTAAAAATCCAAGATTATGAACCCTTTAAAGCCCGATCCAAGAAAAACAGGAATAATATTTTGGATTTTTTAGTCTGAAGTCTTTCTTTGGTCCCTCAACAACATATGAAAAAACATTTTTTTGATCAAATTAGCGTGCAATAAGTCAGAAATCTATGTTGGTGTAGTCTTCTACTGGCTGTTATCAGGTATATCTGAATGTGTACAACAGGGGTTTGAGCAAAGCTTTTACCACTGAATGATGCAGAAAGTCTCACATCCAAAAGAAACCGGATCAGATATCACACATTTGGCTTTATAGGGTTAAGGTATGCAGTAAAATCACAGGTGTTAAACAGAAAAACAGGACTGAAATATACACAGAGCAGGTAATTAGGAAGACTGAGTCCATCCTGGATAATTACATCCCCTATACATACATACAATTACATCCCCTACACAGCGAATTCCAGTTTCTACCCTCTGGTTCCCGTTTTAAATATCCACCAGCTCGGACCAACAGACACAAACTCTCCTTTATTCCCTAAACTCTGCTAGGAAAAGCAGATAGTCATACTTTTTATGCACATAGGCCTCTGCAATGCACATATTTATTTATTCATCCACCTTAATTTTTATCTTTTTAAAATATTTTATGTGTTTCTTGTGTTTTTATGTGTGAACGTGTACTAATACTAAACAAAAATTGCCCAAACTGGGACAAATAAAAGCTTCTGAACTGAACTATTGATTCATGAAACGACTTTTTTTAAGCCACGATATCGGACAGTATTGTCTCAGAATGTGGTTATTGTTCTGTATGTGTGTGTGTGTGTGTGAATGTGTGTTTTAACTTCTGTTTTCTTCTGTTTTGTGCAGGTTTGGGATGCTAACGGAGGAGTCGGTGCCCCATGCTGAAAGCTGTGTGGCGGCACTAGCTAAACATCTGGAGACCAAACTCTCCTTTGGTGAGTCGCCTGAATCAATCCACCCCTCAGTAACTATTTATGCTTATAGAAATCATCTTATTATGTAGAAATACAGGATAAAGATCAGGGGTGCACAGGTCTTCTACAACACCCCAAAAAAAAAAAAAAAACATCAATAATATTCTCATAAACTCGCAATATTATTTAGTAAAAAAGCAACATTTTACTCACTTTTCTTGAAAAGTCCATCTATTTTATGGTTATGAAAATAATCTTATTATGTAGAAATACAGGATAAAGATCAGGGGTGCACAAGTCTTCTACTACTG